TTGTCATAACTATTGCTTTTAAAATAATTAACTTTCAACACTTTTGTTATGAAAGTAAAATTATCATTAAATATTAAATTACTAAATATACTAAATAATAACTCTTAAACTGAACAGTCTTATATACAACAATAAGCCCTTTTCAAGAAAAATATTTACAATATATTTTTATAGTATATACAAAGACTGTTTTCAGTTCATACACAAAGTCTCCTTATATAGCCTGCACCACATATGAAAGCTACACCTGCCATGTCCATCAATGTCCCAGTAGCTGCACCTGATAGGTCTTCTTCCCTCTTGAAATACCTCTTCAACAGATTGGAGTGGTACATTTTGGTTTTCCCCTCCACTTTCACCTTATAGTCCATTCTGTTGATCACTTCCTGCACTTCAAAATGTCCTTTCCACTGCAGGGTAAGTTTGTTATTGTCTTTGGCTAGCAAAACTAAGACCTTCTATCAAACATTGAAATGTTGATTCTCGGTCTTCTTGTCAGAGAAGTGCTTCTGACTGCTTTGATAGATCTGGTACAGTACTTCTTTCTGATCTTCTCTTCTTAAGTCCCTTTGTCTTGTGCTCAACTTTCACTAGATTATACAGAGAGATGAGTATTTTCATGGCTACCTTTCAGGGTCCCTTATCTCGTTTTCACAGGATACCACTATGTGGTGAGTGTTGCCCAGGCACATGTGGTTTTATCAAACCAATTCTGCACGAGCAATCACTCATTCAATATACTTTATTTAGGTTGCAACAGGCTCTGAAGAAGTGAGGTGTTCCATAAGACCACCTAGAGGCTGATAAGGTGGTATTACTGTATTATGCTGGACTGCCACTCATGGACTATCATGAGTAAAACATAAGGGGATCCTGCCGTCCCTGACGCTCAATGGATTGAATAAATCTGAGTCAGTTTACTTTGTACTATTTGCAGAGCACTGTTCCTCAGGGCTTCCAAACATGCATTACCCACCAAATTCTACTAGTGGAGCTAGTGAGTCCTTACCATACTAAGTTTCCAGTCACTGGGGCATTGGACAAAGGCTTTTCCTCCAGAGTGTCAGAGTGAATTCCTTCACTCTTGAAAAAGAGGGAAAAGTTGGGGACCCTCCTACCTGGGTACCTGGATGTTTTTTCCCCAGATGTTGGTAGGAGAGGTGTCAGCCTATGTGGGAGTCTACTGTGGAATTTACCTTGCTCACATGGTTGGGAAGTGAGGATGAGTATTCATAATTCTAGACTGGATGAGTTCTGTTTTCTCAGGTTGAATAAGGCATACAGAATCCTGTCATTCTGAACCTGGGGTATTGCTTTTTGGGCTTTATCAGGTTCAAGAGAAGGTTTGTCTACTTAGGTGTTGCTTACCTTCTCGTCATGATTCGGGTGGTCTAGAACATATCACACTGTGGCTACAGGTTGGGATCCACTCATAAGTGTGTGTGTGTGTGTGTCTATATATATATTGCGGTCCAATTTCCCTAGCCACTAATGTGGATATATGTAGTGGAACCTCAGTTATCTGGTTGGGGCCTGGCCAATAGTAATGATAAATCATGTGTAACAGATTTATTATTATATATTTATTTTAATATTGACATTTGTTTAAATTAATTTGTATTTAGAAATGTACATAACTTGTACTGTTAAATATTTAGTGCGAAACTTCCGTCTATTCTCTAAAGTTGTAGAAGATTCTCGAGTGTAAGAATCAACAATATATGTGTGTACATAAATGCTAGTGTTAGCATCAGTATTTTTACATAAAACTGAAATTTCGAGAAACTCTCCATATGCCTATAACTATAACCAACGTGATGTACCAAAAAAAGAGTATCTATTATTGGGTTGCTGTAATTGGTGTGCTGTAAACTTTGTAAGCTATAACTGTGATTA